AGAACTTATATTTGAGAATTACATATATAATAATTTTTTAATTTTTAAAAAAATCATTAAAAATAAAATTCACATAATAGAAAATAAAAACCCATGACAAATAGGAGATATAACCTATATAACAAAAAAAAATATAGTTGATGATTCGTAGAAATTTAAAAAAGAAAATCAATAGAAACTTAAAATATATGAGCAAATAGAATAGAATTGAAAAAGATAAATAAATATAAATAATAATATAAATAAATAAATTAAATAAAAACTTTACCTCTTTATAATTTCATAAATAAGGACAGAAAAGAAAAAAGAGAAATATGGGTGGAGAAATATGCACATCTAAGAGGCTTGATATTAACTATTGGATGATATTGCAACTTCCATACATTCACAAACAAACGAGCGCCCTTTGGAATGTGGTAGCCGCTAATACGACAATCTTCCATTGCCTCATGGGGAACTGATAGAGGTGCTGCTGGATACAAGCGAAATGTTTCCTTAATAATGGCCTGGAGATAGACTAATTTCTCAATATCACAGTCCTCCACCCATCTATCTCTACCGATTTTGAGGTCTAGCTCTTCTTGAGCACGCTTCATGGCATGTCTATTGTTCATCAAGTTGGACAAAATCCACGTCAACGTAAGGGATGTCCAGTCACTACCTGCTGAGATTAGAACCTAATATAATTAAAAAGATAAATTATCTAGGATCAGGATGGTTATTAATAAATTGAAATTTATGATTTGCGAACATACGAAGACTCAAGAGTCAAAATAACGTACCGTTACTGTTGCCTTGATAATCGTTTCTCGTGTATGGCCAAACATGGAATCATCCTCTATTGCAGATAGCAGCACGTCGATGAAGTCTTGATTGATTTTTGCTCCTATTTTAAGCCTCGTTAATTTATGTTCATCAACCCTACTTTCAATAAGAGAGTCCATCTCTTTCGAAATACGCTTCTCTCTCGCTCTACCGGCAGCTTGGAACACATAGGAGTGGATGAATCGATGGAGCAGAAGAAAACGAAAGGTTGCTATGATGAGAGACATTATCAGGAAGAAAAAAACGAAATTTAAAATATATTAGGATATTGCCATTTTGTAAAGCTCAATAACCATCGGCATGCACCTGTCAACAGTAACCTTAGTTTAATTATATAAATTGATAGGATGCAAATAGCGGTCAGTGATGTCAAATACTTGTAATTTACAGATGCAAAAATAGTATGGATCTTATTGGGTGTTGTATGATTAGGCGTGTCTTTAAGTGTTTTGTATGTGCATTCCAACTCAGGTGACTTGTGGAACTGTTTTTAAGCTATTATTTAAGA